CCAGTCTGCAATAGAAAAAAAACAGCCTCAATGTTTGAACACAAGATCACTACGCTTAATGCCAAAATTGATGGGATTGCTGCGCAGTCAACAATGTCATCGCGCACCGTGAAGAAAACTTACGTAACCATGGCACAGTTCGACAGCTTGAACAACCCACGCCAAATGACTCGGAAGAAGGCAGAGCGAACAGTCACAATGCCTCTCGCTCAGTCTCGCCGAGTCGCGATGGCAGGCGTGACATCGAATCGATTGAAGATGGCAGTCCCTAACCATAAGTATAAGAACCAGCATTCAACTTTACGCATATGGCAATGGAACTGTCGGTCACACCGCCCTCGACACGCAAGCCTACAAGAATTCATCAAGCTTAACCACCAGACATCATTGCACTTCAGGAAACCAACACGCAGAACGTACGACTGCAAGGCTACACGACCTGCGCACAAACCCATCGAACTGCCATACTTGTCAAGAAAGCACTTTCAACGCAAAAACACGAAATCGAGGACACTCAAATAGAGCATACCCTAATAGAGATTCTGCCGGAACGAAAGACGCAGCAAAGTCTTTTCATAACCAATATATACAGCCCCCCACGAGACCAACTACCAGACTTCGATCACTTCATACGAGAAATCAGGAAGCGCACAAATGGCCACCAGATCATAATAATGAGAGACTTTAACGCCTCTCACACGGCATGGGGCTATCATATCACCACGAGGAAGGGTTCTAGAGTGCACGATACTGCTCAACATTACAGACTAACCCTGTGGAACGACCCTCTTCAGAAGACGAGAATCGGGAACAGCGTCTCCAGGGATACAAATCCAGATCTTACATTTACGGCGAACGTCACTAGGGCAGAGTGGAGTGTGCTACCGGAAACTTTAGGTAGTGATCATCACATCATCCAACTCTCTGTAGCGCACACTCGTAAACAGACCAAGACTGAAATAGCGCGGTTAACGGAATGGCAATCCTTTAGGAATGACCTCGACGTTGAAACCACCATAATCGACATTGAAGACTGGTTTAAGAATGTACTCAAAATAGCCGAACGCTACACTAAGGACATACAGCTTGACGTCGATACACCCGCCGTCGACGCGCAATCTCCTCCACCATTTGGGAGGCTAGAAGAGGACTTCTAAAACGGTGTGGAAGCGGCAAAAACTAAACAGAAATTACGGAAACGCATTTCTCTTCTCACTGAGCAAGCTCAAGATTATGCGAACCGATTGGCCAGGCAGAACTGGCATGCTTTCTGTGACAAGCTGCAGGGGACTCTGAGCACCAAGAAAAACCTGGTATCTGCTACGCACACTTCTAGCCACGCAACCCTCCAAAGCAGCACAGAAGCAGCACCTTCAGAGGCTTATTCGAAACTACGCCGGTACAGAAGAACACCTCCTAGAAGAATTACAAAAGAAGCTCTGTGGCGATGCACCCACTAGGGCTTCAATTACACCAAAGAATACGCTGGCGCACCAAACACTGAACTCGACCGGCCCTTCAGCCTGGCTGAGCTGCACACAGCCCTAACGAATTTGACAAGAAATACCAGCCCCGGAATAGACAGGATTGTCAACAAGCACTTACGCAACCTACCGCACCAGGCCACCACGGCTCTTCTCCGTTATTGCAACGACTGCTGGGATAAAGGAGAGCTACCTGCGGTATAGAAGCACTCGGAAATCACCATGATCCCTAAGCCTAACAAACCAGTCGGCATCGAGAACCTACGCCCGATTTCTCTCACCTCGTGCGTGGGAAAGCTGTTCGAACACATGGTGCACGACCGCTTAACCCAGTACCTGGAAGATAGTGGACACCTACCGGACACCATGTTGGCTTCAGGCAGCATCTTTCGACGCACGACGTGCTCTTACTACTCAAAGAAGACCTCCTTGATCACCTCACCCCTCTAAGTAAGTACTCCATACTCGAGTTTGACGTCCAAGGCGGCCTTCGATAACGTCAGCCACGACGCGATCCTCAACAACCTCGAAGGCGTTGGCTGCGGCATTAGAACCTACACGTATGTTCAGAAACTTCCTGACAGACCGCTACAGCAACTGTGGGCATATGCAACATCCGCGGCAAAAGCTTACAACTACCGAAAAAAGGAACGCCGCAGGGTTACTTTTCAATGTGGCTATAATCAATCTGCCAAAAATGCTTGACAAAATACCTGATTTACGGCACGCAATCTACGCTGATGACATCACGCTCTGGACCAGGGCTTCGAACACCGGGAGACAAGAGCCCTGCCTATGAACCGCCGTAGATGGCCATCTAACGGTATCTCAGAGACTGCGGTTCTCTGCTGTGCCCCCGAGAAATCCGAGCACCTCGTCCTCACAGCGAGACAAGAGGCAGACCTCCTCTATACGACGAGCCCGACCCTAGCGTAACGCTGAAAGGGACCTTAATTCCAAAAGTCGAGGACCCTGCGAGTGCTTGGAGTTCACCTCTACAAGGATGGATCGGGAGCTGCCACCATACCGAGACTCCAACGGACACTATCACAACTCGCTCACCTCGTCAAGAGGATCGCGAATCAACGAAACGGACTCAAAGAGCACGACACGCTACGTATAATGCAAGACTCTGTTCACCAGCCGCAATTACGTACGGCACGCCGTTCCTAAATTTGAAAACCGCTGAAATTGAAAACCTTAAATATCATGATAAGAAAGGCCACTAAAGTAGCCCTGGCACTTCCGCCAATGGCCTTACCCACACGTCTCCTAAAGATGGCGTCCCACAACACGTGGCAAGAGCTCATTGAAGCGCATAGGAATAGTCAGCTGGAGAGGCTCAAGCTGACGCCACGGGAGGGTCGGTGCTCCGGTAACTGAACTACTGCGACACGTTCATCGCCGATGCAGCACCGGAAAAAGCGCATCCCGCTGGTACATTAGAGAGTCGCTGTTCATCGCACCTTCTTCCACGCAACATGCATCCTACTTACCCACAAAATCAGACGCAAGGCTAGAGCTAACGCTATTCGACGAAAGTTCAAGCAAGACCCGGACACCCGCTACACTGACGCAGCCAAGTATCCGCATAAAAACGCGTACGCTGTCAGCGTCGTTGATTCTCAAGGCCGAAAATTAGCGTCAGCCACGCTCTACGCACTCAATTCAGACGCCGCAGAAGAATCGGCAATCGCTCTAGCAGACGCCGCGGTGATTTTCACCGACTCACAAGCCGCCTGCAGGAATTTTGCTAAGGGCCGTATCTCAGCCAATGCCATCAATATTTTGAAACGGCGAAGCACTCCACTCCCATACACTTGTGTATTATGGGTGCCAGGACACGAAGGTCTGCAGGGAATTGAAGCGGCCCACGCCGCTGCCCGCGAGCACGTCAGCCGGGCTGCCCCCTGCTCACAGGACATTCGACCCGTCGTTGAAGAGACGGAAGTTGTTCAAAACACCTACTCGTCATTACTCCAGCATTACAGGCTGGAGCGACGAGTATACCCTCTACCACACCCAAAACTTACAAAAGAGGAAAGCGTAATACTGAGACGCCTGCAAAGCAGCGCATACACACATGGGCCCTAATGCACCGTCTCTACCCAACGAGATATAGCTCTATTTGTCCGCTTTGCAACGTACTGGACAACCTGGCGCACTTGCTTCTTGCATGCCAGTGTATTGCCAGACGTAATCTGCAACAACACACGACTGATAACGAAGCAGGATGGACGAACGAAGACCTAACCGAAACGTGGGAGGCGATGCTCGCCCTCGAGGACCTGGAAGAGCAACAACAACTCGTCGCCAGGGCCAAGAGGGCAGTAGAAGCCAGAGGGTTCCTGGACTAAGGAGCCCCCCCCCCCACCTCAGGGTGACATCGGGTATTGCTCGGAACACTGTTTCAAAATAAACGTTTACTTCTCTCTCTTTATGATATGTTTTTGTGTATTTTAACGATACCTATTCCACGACAGAAATGACGACATTGATACCTTGGTGAAACCGGCATACAACACTTCCGGGTTAAAAGCGGTTATTGAGGAACGAACACAAAAGAGCACTTCTAACAGACTCGGAGCAGGTGCGCAGAATTTCAAAATATACATAATGCTAGAGCAACGCCTCGGAAGGCAGCGTCCCACTTGCTTTCGCTACTTGCCTGACCCGCGCGTAGCGAGCTGCCTCTCGGCTGTACCACCCAGCTACTTAGTGAATGTACACCCACTCCACCCCATTCATCAAACCGAGCCCGGTGACTGCAGAATCGCAAGGTCTGAATATCTCACCTAGCTGTCCAATGCAAGTCGCGCTAAATATTGTTAAATAGTTAATGCTGCCAGAAGTCATTACCTCCAAAGGCCCCCACTGATTCCCGTTGCCTGCTTTTGAGGCCGACATATTGACCGCACAAAAAAGTCGAGAACAGAAGAAGGCATTAAGACACGGGCGAAAATGTTGAACAGTAAGCACTAAATAGGCCAGTTTCAAGTTCTCCTGTTGCTTTTAAAAGATTTCGATTCACAACGAAGTCACTCAGAGGTCACTGTAAGACTACTTGGAATCGTAGCTAGATTATGTCCGTACAAGCCGTACATGACTCAGCATACGGACCGATGTTCCAGAAGTGCTTCTTTTGTCTCTGCATTACTTGTAAATGTTATGTATGCCCACTTCTGCCCTTTAGAAGACACTGTACCTGAGACGACACTTTATGTTGAATAAATTCAGACTGAAAAAAAAATATTATCAAAAGCTACGAACTACTCGAAAGGAATGCACAAATCTATGTTTTTCTAGACACTGGCACACCGCGAGCAATGCCTTCGTGGCTAGCGCGCACGCCTGGTACAAATGTCACCGACTGTAATCACGTGTACGTCTCCAGGAATCGGAGTGTGTAAAAAAGGAAAGAGGTGACTTTTTTCATTTAGAAGCACATGAGGATCAAAAGCTCAAGTTTTCAGAATAGAACAAAAGGCACGTGGTACCACAAGTTGTTGTCATTTCTAAAACACAATGATCGTTACTGTTTTAACCCTATATAGCGGCTAGGACGCTTGTAGGCCTTAGTGAGAGCTGTGCTTCTTTTATGATTATGTATGTCGGGGGCGGGAGCAGCAAATTAGCGTTTCAATTTACCCGTATATAACGAATTAGGCAGTCACAAGACAAAAGAAAGTGCAGTATGGGGATCCCTAGAAAAGAACTAGGTATCACCGGCACCGTTTTGTTCGCTCTGCTCTGGACAACACCTCATGCAGGTAAAATCTTCGATCATTTGCGAAAGCTGATCATCACTAAACATCACTAAACATCACCCTGAACATCACTTGATGCCCGAATTGCACGTGATAATTGCATAGAAAGGCCGATTCTTCATTCCTGGCGCTTCAAGATATGTCTTTACATTTGAAAGTTCATCATCATCATCATCATCATCATCATCATCATCATCATCATCGGCCTGACTATGTCTTCTGCATAACAAAGGCCTCTCGCATGTTTCCCCAGACCTTGGTCCTGTGCTTGCTGCTGCCATTTTATACCTCGAAACTTCTTAATTCCATCTGCCCACCTAAATTTCTGTCTCCCCCTAATCCGCTTGCCTTTCCTTGGAATCAAGTCAGTTACACTTAAACACCAGCGGTTATCCTGCCTAGCACTACATGCCCGACCCATTATAATTTCCTCTTCTTGATTTCAACTATGATATCCTTAACTAACGTAACGTATGCGCCTGTTGTAACGTATGCGCCTGTTGTTGTGGGTGACTGGCGTTATACTATAAAGTCATTCTTTTCAAATTCATTATATTTAAAAGTAATATGTGATCCACTATCTAAACAATCGTTTCTTGGCAATCGTTTCTTGGTTCACACCCCAGAGGGGGTGTGAACCACTCGTTTAGGCCATCATCATCATCATCTGCATCCTCATCGTCATCATGATAATCGCCTGCTCTTACGCCCGATGACATTGTACGCTTGTACGACGCACTTACACTATAACATTCCGTGCTGCATTGCGAAACATGTATGCAGAACGCGTGTGTTTGCAAAGAACGAAAGTCACTTTCACTGCATTTCCAAGCCGATGAAGTTATTTTCGCTGTGATCACAAGTAGACGCGTGGCTGCGTGCTTCGAGACCACAGGAACCAGGATATACCGACTCTCGAGCGTGAATCAAACAGTCAACCTCCTTAGCAGTGCACTTAAAGCGCTTCCGACTCGTTACAACGCTGACTAGTGCTTCGGCGCAACCATTCGGCTTGACAGTCTCCCCGATAACCTAGCGACTGGCTGCTGGAACTTTGCCAGTACGACCGCCACTTTCGTGAACGAGCCAGTCACTGCATTCAGACTTGTTCGTGGACGGTAAACGCAACGGCCAGTCATCACCGGTGCCTGCGCCACCGGCCCTCATTAAAGCGCCTGCTATCGTGGACAACTCCATCACCCACCGGTTCATCAACAACACAAAATGCGAGCTTTGTATCGTACCCGCCCCGTTGTGAAGATCACAAGTTCAACAAACGCGGAATGCTGTGGAGGTATCTTTCGCGTCGTATGGGCACAAGTCAGGTACTTTACACTGGCACTCAGGCACCTGTAGAGATCGGTGTACAGGATTACAGACGTCAGATTTACCACACTTGACGGGAAATACTTGAGGTATTGCAGCCTGGATGTGAGTACGCGCGGTCGGCGCTTAAGTATTCTAGAACGTCACGTCCCTCACTGCACCGGACTCTCAGTCCAGGATCCCCTCATCGGCTTGTGTATGTTTCAGCCAGTATCAAACCACAGTAAAATACTTGCTCAGTGCTCGAAACTCATGAAGGCTTGAAATTATGAGCTGCCCGTGAAATACAAGGTGTAGCATCATGCCACTGCCACTGGTCAACTTGTCACAACCCGTTCAAAGAGGCCCGCTCAAACATAATTTCAAGTCGCCGTATGTTGGGCGAAACACACTTCAGCTCGGCGTTGTTCATCTTTCCTTAGCAACCAGCATTCGCCTCGCAATCCCCACTAAAATGACGACTGTCTGCATTGTGGGCACCACCGAGCTTCGAATGCCGTTACTACTCCGGGTAATAATTACTTTTCGGCATACCTGTCTTCGGCCCTCATCTCGCGGGATCCGAAATATACAAGGATGCACTACCATGAGTTTTCATTGCTTTATTTTGATTAATTTGGGTATCACTTCCAAAAACTGTTACCTACTCTCGGCGCGCACCAAGCAGCAACGTTTCAAGAAGTTTCCTAATTGTTTCAGATAGTTCTGCTAAGATTACGAGCGGGACGTCAATAGTTAGGTCCAGTCAAGAAATTACGCGAGCACCAGCGGTAATACCTAAATGCTCTATTACTGATGGTAAAAGACAATGCGTTTTGATGATGGACTGATTACTTGACTGCCGGCAACTGTCCACGCCGCCAGTAGGGTAAAAAATGAGTTGCACACCGAATTTATTGAGTAAAATAACAAGTTCCGCATTTTCCCGTGTCTCTGCAGCTCTCCTCGCAGTCGTAACCACATAGCAATATGTTTGATGCCCTTGTACTGCCAAATTCATTTCAAACTGAGTGACATATAGAAAACAATAACGACTACGTTAGCTTTGTTTTATTTTCGCACATATACTTTACGACTTGAAGTACATATGGCAAACCTTTCAGAGGTTCATGAACGAGATTGTGAGTGGGTTCATTTCAGTTCTGTCTAGCTTGAATGCATTCTTTTTGCCTTAAAAGGTCAAACGGTTATGACCACAAGGCGGAACTAAGCCACTTTAAGAGGTGCGAGTACAATTTAATTGTAAACTACCTCCATGAGCGCGTAGATCACTCGATAGCTTCTTCCACAGTGTACATTTAAAGAGAGCTTTCGCAAACTTTTATTACCGGCAAATCATACTGCAGTAATTCTGTTCAGTGTTAGTTTCAAGAAATTCAAAGCTCTTTCTGAGCGTACTCAGCATGATAGCCTTTGTGATGACCGTTGCGGTTTGGATGTTACGCCAGAAACTCGAGGGCACTGCTTGTGGCGTTCTCAGTGAAAAATTGGTGCATGGGCATTCTGGTATTCTGCCAGTAAAGTACCGGTCTGTCCAGCCAACTTTCACTCCTGGTTCCGCCAAGCGTGGACCGTGTCGTAAGCGTTAGCAGTTGTAAACGCTCGTTGGGGTTGGTCATATGACCACTGTGACTTCGTTTATTGTTATTCTACGTCACTGAAAGCTCATTCGATGCTGCTGGCAAAATTAGTGAATTAGAAAATCACGTGACAGATGTTCTATAGCGGTAAACGTCTTTGGAAACGTCTGTGACAACAGCTGCATTAAAGTGGACTCCAAAAACATTTCCATATATTATTTGCATATTGTCAAAATAATTCAATGATCATCCGAGAATTCGGCATCTGAACATCCATATGTGTACCTCATTAGAGCCGCGTTTACAGACACTGTAGGCTATTTGAATTTTGCGCGTTTTTCCACACGTGTTGGCCAGTAAAACACAGTCAATATGTCTCTATGTAAACGCCATGACAAATGTATGTTTCGTTGCGCCATGCCACGCGAAGAGATTGATTCGTGATATCATTGCAACAGTCACTTTCACTGACATCACAGTCTACATTTGTTGCAGTATTCTTTGACGCATTTGTTTTCAGTCAATGGTATAAACTTCTCCTACATCACGTTGAGGTTCATCTTGACCTACAGGTAAAGAAAATGTCTACTTTTACTATGAGTCTAAGTGACGTAGCACAGGTTTTTATAGTACCTATTTGCATTTTCAGAATTGTTTAATGTCACTCACTACTTGTGGTATTATTCTCGTTTCAGAAACACGTGTGTACCCAAGACTGATTGAAGGTAGGGCTGATGACGGCGACTTGTTGCTGAACATCCATACGGGCCTGACTCTTCACCTTCGCAAAAGTTCTATACTCGCAAGAGACTTCGTCCTTACATCAGCCTCTGGCATTGAAACACACAGCATAATTGTAAGTTTCACGGACAGGCGGGCGGGCGGACGGACGGACGGATGGACGGACCGACGAACGTTCCGCCCCACTCATCACACTCATCATCATTCACTCCGTTGATATGCTGTGATTTTTTTTGGTAACCAGTCCGCTATACGTACAACTACCTCTTTGCGCAAACAAGGTCCGAGTGTCTGGAAACATTTCAGATACTCTGAGAATATTCTGATAATATTCTGGGTAGCACGTGAATGGTTGACTCTAATGTAATAACATAATCTTTGATGCCACTAAAAGAAAAGTCCGACGTGCTTTACTGCGGAGAAAATTACCTACCACAATGCTTATCTCTATCAATGTCGAGTAATGATCGATGGTTGTGTGAGGTTTAACGTCCAAAAACCACCATATTAGAGGTGCCGTAGTGGAGGGCTCCGGAAAGTTCGACCACCTGGAGTTCTTTAACGTGCGCTAACCTCTGAGCACACGGGTCTACAGCATTTCCGCCTCCATAGAAAGTGCAGCTGCCGCAGGCTGGATTTGATTCCGCTACTTGAGGATCAGCAGCCGAGTACTTTAGCCATTTCATCACCACGGTGAGTCTATAAATGTAGAGTATGTATTGCCTGAACAATAACTTCGCATTCTTTCAGCACAAGTTCACGCAAACAAAAAGTTTCGTCTAACACCCGCCACCAATCGACTTCCTCAAGTTTACAACCATGTGCCACTATCTACAAAGTGCGCAGCAGCACAACAGATTTCTGATTCTGTAAAAGTACTGTTCAGCTTTGCCGAAGATTAACGCAGAGTATAGGAGTTACTTTCTAGTTCACATTACTAACCTCTTTAAGGTCAGCATTTTTATATTCGCCGCTGCTCGTGAAGCCGAAGACGGATTTTTTTCTTAAGAAGCATGATCTTTCCCAGCAGTAGAACAACCTGCATGCTGCCTTTTCTCGAACAGGTTGATGAAAGATTCTTTCGTGAGGCCTAGTCACATCACAGGCACAAAGCGAACTTGCCGTCTTCGCTGCTATGATACCGTATTTCATATCTCTTGTTGACACTCGCTCTTATGTTTTCCTTCGCATGTTAGCAGTGGCGTACAGATTAGAGATCAAGGCGTCGGCGATAAAATAGGCATTTCATTAGCGCCACTGCAACACGTAGGTAAGCTAAATTATGCGAACTGCGATTGTCCACTCCCCTCCTTTCCGCGGGCCAAAGTACGCGTGACGGATGGGAGCCGCCACCAAGCGCTCATTGCGCCATCTTGCTGATAATACTGAAAACATAACAGCAACCTCCCCCCCCCCCCAAATGCCCACCAACAGCGGAAAGAGGTAGATATAAATGGCTTGCCGTTTAAACGTTGAAGGAGGCACGCTTGGTTTCTCAGTTGTTAACGCCTTGCATTCACTACGTGGAGGTCCCACGTGCGATTCCGCGCACCGGAGTCTCTTGGATTCTTTTTTCTTTCCTGCGTATTCATTTATATAGAGAAGTATAAATATACGGTGCATGACATCGACGCCAACGCCGGCGGAGAAATCCAGCTGAGAGTGTCCATATAGTTGCTATTGCAATGAAATGGTATATAGTTTCTTCATTAACTTGAATGGTGAGATGTAGACATCGGATAAACAATGGTCCCGAGTTTCAATCCTCGAACCGAGCAAAGTTCTCGTCACTTGGGTACTTTTGTTCAAAAACCAGGATAGGACCCGCATTTATTCATTTCGAAGACCCTCCTTCCTTTTTCTATAATCCGTAGAACTTATTTTTTTTGTTCTGCCAGAAGTTTACCGCTGTGTGTTTTTACCTGCTTTGTTCCAGCTGAACGGGTCGGAACTCGAGCGCGACTTGTACCACGACACGGAGCAGCGTTCTTCGATTATCGTAGGCGAAAGGAAAACGGCGTGGAGGTGGTGAGTTGTGGCCAACGAAAATGACGCTAGACTGCATGACCAGATTAGTCAGTAAATAAACTAAGAGTAAATCAGTAAATAAACTAAGAGAAAACATGGCCACCACCATAGTGAATGAAAGTCAATCCCCAGCAGTTTTCAAAAAGAAGATACACGCTTATCTACTCATGCTTCAAACGTGATATGTCTTTTTTGTGTGTTAATGAAGCGCAACTCATGTAGCTTTGCTGAAACGCACTGTAAATTTTTCACTTCCTCACAACTGTTCACAACTACGTTTTTGTTTTTATAGGATTTCAAAGGGCTTTTATGTGTAAAGAGTGCATTTATAGATGTGTAAATATTTCCTATCTTTTCCACGCTCTACGTCTACACTTTGTATATTTCACTGTATTGAATCTATGTATTTATGCTCTAGACACACATGCTGAGTGTTGTGCATTATTGTGGTCTGGGCGGGGATCGGTGCATTGTCAGGCATTCAGTTGCCTTTTCACCACCCCTTTCCATTCAACCACTGGATAAGTGATGTATGTTTAAAACTATGATGATGAATAAACTTCAAACTTCAAGTACAAAACTTAGAGTGGAGGGAAGCGGGGGGGGGGGGCTGACACATAGCTCCGTTTTACCCCATTTGAGTAATTGTTAGCAGAAAATCTTCTGTTTGGCTATGTTCACAGTAGTCCAGTGAAAGGCATGTTTGAATGAAATGCATTTTCTTTTTGGACGCCAATGAAACGATGAATCTCGTTCAATGTAACCGACAGCGGTTGAAACTACGACGTTGATTTTCTAACTCAAGTATTCTAAGACATAGGGAGTCGCGTAATACTTATTGTCCTACTCAGAGCGAAATGTCACTATTAGGGAGTCTGATTTTACCACTGAAGTTTATTTCAAATATTCATCACCTAATTTATAGCCTTAGTTCCTTGTTGATTGCAGGTGAATTGACTTTAATGCAAGTACTTCACAAAAACGTTCGAAACAATGTCAAAACTTTTTGTTTGTTGATTCCCAGTAGCGTCCACAAAAGATAATAAATTATCATTTTTTGTGTTCGTAGCTACTTTGACAGTTTTCTTATCCCCTTCTCTGGTCTTCTCAATCATTATCTTGTTTGAACCACATTAACATACATTTGGAGCTATGACAACATATTATAACAGCCACTTCCATTCCTCACCGAAGTAAGGAATGAGTTTCTTAATATATTCTGATCGAGTGGCAGTTTTCGTTCCCCATAGATTGCACAACCAAACCAACGTGTGCCAATTATTTAAGGAGTACAATTATAATACCTGATTTTTGTATTATTGAGCTAAGCACCTAATATTTGCCATTCTTATTACTTGTATCAAACTCACGCTCAGGTTTTGCAAACGAAGTCCTAGTCATAAGTTACCAGGCCACGGTTCCATAAAAATATATTGCGTGGTGACGGGGGAACATTTTACCCACTCCTGTGCGATGGAGTCCATGACATCGTTATTTTTGCATTTCAGAGAGGAATCTTGAACGATCAACTCAGGATTACGCCGGCTGTTCTTTCCCAACGTTCCGATGAAGGTCTCATTCCTCATGATGTATTTACAGTCGAAGAAAGATCAAGCACTCCTGCGAATTCATGTAAGTCACAAAAACGTAGCGAATAGATTCATCAGTAAATAAACTAAGAGAAAACATGTCTGCCTTTCAGTGGGAATGCATCGGGAAGAATAAATGCCTGTACAGTTCTTCATCACGAGTTCTCATGAACTGTACCAAAGAACATGTGGCCATGTTACTTTCCTGGAAGCTCATGAGATGAAACTGAAATGCGAACTAGGACGTACACCAACATTTCGTCGTACTCGAATATTTCAACTAGTGGCAATCATTTCACAATATAGATCATTCAAGCCCACCTGATTAACAACAAAAAAGTACTGAGACTGTACGCATGATTTCGGCCACTCTACATCTAAAGGATTATGAAACGGTTCATGCCATAGCGCGATGATTACTCTGGTAGTGACCATTGTTACTTTTTGTAAGTGCCTGAAAATAGATATGGGCGTACATGTCTTTTGCTGATGGTTAAATCACGCGTGTACACTCAGTATAGTGCTATTCAGCAGTGCACTGAGGTGTTTCGTGCCTTGTGTCTGTTTTTTATCTACCTAATATAGATGCCTAAAATGGCCCATAAGTTTTTATGCGTTCGTCTAAGCAACCCTAAAGCGAAAAGCCTCGTGCTTCATCATTTCGGTCGATTTTATTGATTCTGGCCAACACCAGACGTCATGGTTTCTGCCCCTTAGCTGGTTTTCCAGCCGTGGTTAAGAGATCAGCTGATGTTTGACCGTACGCGGTCGTTACACGGTGTCACATTACATAAAGTCACAGTGACGTCACAATTACGGCATAATGACGTCGCATATTCTGGTGACGTATGGCGTCATCGCGTGATTTTTCATCGCTTCGTGCTTCAGCCGTCGACGGTTTTTTTTCGTCTTTGTGGACGCATGGGAGGACTGAACATACTCAAAAATTCTGCTCTACAGGAGAGTAACAGTAAGAATGCAAGCTTTAATGCATTGCTACTCGTTCTTTTCCTTGACGTGTGTCTGCCATTTTGTGATCAAATTCTGACCAGGATCAAACTAAGAGCCATATATTGTAGTTCTCTAGCTTTGCATTGTGTACGTCTTCATGTTTGAACAGAGTAAACAAAACATAACAAATTGTCTCATTCTTTTAACTGCCTTTCTTTTCCTGGTACAGCTGGACTTTCTACGAATGATACGTGCGCAAAGGACCACACGAAAAGTGCTGGCAAGTACATACTGTTGTCGTTTTCGCTGCAAAGATAATATGTTGTGCTTTCAGAGAAAAAAATCGCAACATATCCACGGAGTGAATGATGATGAGTGGAGCGAAGCGTCTGTGCGTTGGTCCATATGTCCATCCGCTCATGTGTCTGTCCGTTCATTCACGTGTCCAGACGGACAGACGGATGGACAGACAAAGGCACGAACGGACGCACAAATAGATGGACACAAGGACGGACTGACGGATGCATGAACGGACGGACGGACAAATGGTTGACTTCTTCCACACGAGGCGCTTGGATTCTGTTGTTCTTCTTGCTTTAAATATTGGCGCACCATGACCTACATGTGGTATCTCTATAAATACGAACAGTATCAAGCTGGCAAAACCACTCCTTTTCCGGCTTAATATAATGCACAACCTATTACTTACAAATTTTAATTTACTTGAAATTCAGAAACCTTGGGCGTTGTTCTATGTAGCATTTCTAAGATAAATTACTTGTGATGCTGGGGCCAAGCAGTAATATATTGTAAGTTTTCTTTTATTTTTCAGTGAAACAAGTATAAGTAACTGTACCAGTGAGTTTGTTGTCGAAATGTGCGTGGTAGCAGGGCCCACATATTGGAGCGTGTTCAATAAAACTGAGGATCTCGTCACCTATGTAGCGACGGGAATGAATGCGGTAAGCTGCGAGATATTCATTTCGAACATTTTCTTCAGCACAATTTTGTTATTTTTACCTGTACTTGTATCCTAGTGACTAAAGTATACGGTGGTCGACCTTGAGCACGACCTCCTGAATATCTGGTTCCAGTAATTGTAGTTCATTTCAGTGCGGGATGAGCGCGAAGGCACTCGCGTACTTATATTTAGCGGAACATCAAGGAGCTTGCTGGTGGTGAAAAATTAATAAACTTCTGCGTTATCGCAAAGTTGCCGACGTGCTTTATTTACATATCTCGGTCCATCTTCATCAGTTTTTCAAAGAGGATGTTGCCTTAACCAAGTGTTTTATCTCAGGACAACCCTTGCAAAACTAATCCCAGTTAGTCTTTCAAAAGAGTTATATTCACTATTCCAGATCGGCAAAAAGAGCTTCCTTTATTTCGGTTCTCCGAGATGTCTTTTTCTTTTATTGCGTAGGTATTACAGCTACTGTCCTTCAATTATGTTGAAGTTGCCTGTGTTTGCAGATTCAAACCTCAAGATACAAGAGCCTCAAGGTAAAAGGTCATGTGAGCGTAAAAAACCCTCCACCCTGTTGCTTGTCAATAATCAAGCCAAAGGATTTAACCTCGCCTAGTCACGCATTTGCTGAGCATCAGCAGCCACCAAGCCACTGCTCTCAGACGGAGATAGTCCGCACAGCTACCGCGCCGTTAGCCTGACTTGGTGCGAGCCTAGTACGAGCAATGAAAGGTCCTCGCTTCAACCAGGGTGCCATTCAGTTTTGTTCTGGTGTTGTAACGTTCTGGTGCGGTAGCTTCGACTCTTTTGCATGGTCGGTGACAGGCCGTAGTTTGACTTAACCCTGTGTACGCTAAGGAGAGGCTTAGCATCATGCAAGAAGAGCACGTTAAACATTTGAAATCGACCACTTTGGCTGCTTCTTAGCGTTAGTCGGTTGGCATGACTATTTCCTTTCTTACTTACATTGAGATCTTATTTCAATACATGTTCTTCGATCGTGGAAGTCATGGTCATTGAATTTAATCAGTGACTCTTACCTTCGCTAACATGTTTAAATCAATCATATCATTATTTACCTGCAGAGGACCACATGGCTATAACATCCTGCCAATTCTGCTCATATGCTTCTCAGGGAAATTTTCTCAATAAAAAAGAAGAAAGCAATTTCCATTTGCTCCTTCAACCTGCTCAGTTCATGGCAGGATTTTCGGATCTGTCAGCCAATTTTTGTCCTACAGGCGCAAGGCGCAATTGCCTTAGAGCTTACGATCTGCCCAATAGGTCGTCAACCAGTCAAGGCTGTGAACTCGCATTTCAACAGGCGCTAAGGAAAGGAATGGAGGGGATTAAAATTACGGACAACGTACCTTTACGCATTCCTGGAACACTGCAATGAACTTATCTAAATGTCTCAATTCATACATCTCCATAGTTAATAAGCTAATAAAAATTATTATTCAGTACAGCCATATAGTCAGTCATTGTGAATTGTTTTCAAGTTATGAGTACTATGCTCACAAGCCTATTTATAAAAACGTCTATTATGAAAGTAGTTGCCTCGAGAGTTCTATGATAGTAAAGCAGCGAGAACGTTTTTCAGCGTACGCACTGTTCTTAGGTTGTCTATTAAGTGCAACTACGTACTAACTTTTAAAATTTGCCTATGTAGAACCTTTCCATTTGAAATAACGTCGATTGCCTTTTTCTTTCTCTGTATTATCCTAGAGTGAACGAAAGAAAGAATCAGCAAGGGACATAACTTGCCCTTCTATTATCATTTAAGATGAAATTTGGCTGTGATCTCTCAAGTTAGCTTTTTTGAGAACATACACTAACACTGATCAGTGTGTTGTGGCGAGCAGCATGGTATGCTAGCCATCACATTTGAAAACAAAACACATTGTGACTATGTGGTGATGTCTGCAGTCATGCACTTACGAAATGAAAGAATGGTGTGCTTCTATGTACTTAGGGGGGACGGGGGTGACGCCTCAGCTTGTGATACGTCATACTGGCAAACAACAAAGTGTTTGTTACAAATAAACGTACTAATGAATATTTCTTTCAAGACAACTTTAACAACAAAGAACACAATTGAGTAAGCACTAATACAGATAAGCGTGTGAAACAATTTGTTCAATTATGTTGGTAAGCATTTATTCCAGTTTTTTTGTTCAGCTTCCACCCTACTGTACTTTCAGAATTTTTATCCAAGCTCAAACAAAAAGTCAAGTCTATAGCCCTAGGTGCCAGGTTATATTTCTTTTGCTAGCTTAAACACAAAAGCATTGCTGCACAAAACATCAACAGCTAGTTGTCGAAATAAGCGAGAGTGGGATTATAAATTAAGACTTCTGCGACCTTTTAAGCTTTCGCAGAACTCACTTGTGGCATTCTATGCCCATGTGCTGATTCACCGTCGCCATGCTAATTGCTAGCACGCTAGTTAGCTCGACTGGTAAGACGGCTCCCAGGAAAGGCGTTGATCCCGGGTTTTTATTTCTCCGCTAGATATGTTATAAGCATGAAATCAGACTATATTTATGTAGACAAACGAATGAATGGATTGTGCGATTTCGCCTAAGGTCAGTTCTCTCGTGCTCCAGCAATTTGGCATGAAAGACGCGTACCTGCGCTCATGGGCAACGTTGGTGCAACGTTGCTCATGTGCACATTTTCATGCCTTTTAAAAAAACAGGACATGGTGGAGCTTCTCGATAATGGTTTCTGCTTAATAGTGACGGGAAACTAAGACATAATATTAGGCTGGTAGTAGCTAGCGCAATCACTTTCTTGGCAATGGGACGAAAGGCGTGACATATTAGGCCACCAGTCGCCCGTAAGTTATTTAGTATGAGGGCGCGGCAACTCAACAAGTCGAGGTGAGAACACAGGCACGTTTCGGGAGGCCTACGGGTTGGTCAGTGGCCTTGCGATCACTTGGTCAGTAACTGCATTTTCAGGCTCACCATGAAACCTGATGATACGAACTTTCATCGACCTCTTGCCTGCCGAAAGTTATCGTTATGTTTTTGCAATCCCTCTCGGTATTCTGGGACGCTGTCGTTATGAGCTCATGAACATGCTACTATTGCTGCTTATGTAGCCATACAAATTGTAAGTGGATTCAAACTTTTTATTCAGGTTATAGCAATGGTGGGTGCGACTTTCTTCTTTTTCCTATAGCAAGCAAGTTCATGTACAAATCAAGATTTGTACATGAACGCCCTGCAGGTTGCCAATGACTCTTACTATCGAGGCTTTTTCTCTGCACCTACAGGCTAACTTCTGGTTCACTGACATGGAGAAACCGGCGGTCAAGTTGCAGCTTAATCGAATTATCCAATATGAGGTGAGCTTTTTGGAAGTGGCGCATATATGCTTGTGTCATTCTAGTGCGATGGCCTGATATGCTTAAAATACGCTCTTTCATGTGAAGAAACAAAGTAACGTAATCGTCTCAGTACACATTTCATATACTCCTTGTGTTACTCCGGTATTCGTCGGCTACTAGGTGGTACTTGAAAAAAAAATTCACTCCCCTTCACGGAGGGATCTACATGTCAAAGTAGTGTGACAGCTCGTGCAATTACGCAAAACGATTTTGGTGGTTCCTCCCATTCACATCGGTAACAGAGTTTCCGCTCAAAGGAACCGGCAATTTTCTTTTTTAAAATGTCCATTTGTTTAGCGCTACGAAAGTTTACCGGTCAGTGAGTGTTATCACGGGATGGCAAAGTGAAAAACACCAAGAAACTTTTGTTATGAGAATTTTTATCTGCAGTGAATATGAAGTTGTATGCAGATGTGACAACGCATGATTACGCGCTGCAAACGGTGAGCGCAAGAGCGGCTCGTCTTTGAGTACGGTGGTTTACTGCAAATACCCGCACTCTATGCGCATTCGCCGCGGCTCGACTTAGCCACCGGCTGCCACAAGGCATCGTCACTTGTTACAGTACAAGCTCTTTTACGCCCTAAGCAGCACTGAATTAAGTGGGGTTTCATAATATATACATACTCAAACTTGGAGGACTGAAGCGCATGACAGCATTAGATTAAGCGACTACACGCAGAAAAGTGATAGACACCACCGCTATAAGAATCTTTTCCTAGACTGCCCAACAATACGGCTTTGATTGCTTTCAAGCACACATTTAAATATAGAAATCCTAGTCGCAACGCGAAGAGAATGCTCGAAGCTGTCGCTATATTTCCACGGTCTTCTCATTTCTACTGGGATCTAATCACGTGCTCTGGCCAGTTGTCAGCCTCTTTAACACTCGCATTCCTCCTCTTCTCAAGGCTTACTGCCTGAGCAGGCCTCATTTCACCATGGCTTAATCTCCCCCTCCCTAGGCTCCAACGTCACTCGCCACTGCACCCCATATCTCCTGCGCTCCGCTCTCTCCCTCCGCTGTCTTAGCTCTCCGTCACCCCTGCTGTACTTGGCTGTGGGGCTTACCAATAGAGTTTCTTAAGACTTACTACGAAGGACTCTGGCGCTGCGTTCGTTCAGCCATCATGGAAATGACGGGTAGTAGCGCAAATTTTCCTGTAGTCTTCATTCTTACGGTTTTCAAACGCGCTTGTGGCTTTGTTTATTGCTCTGTTTTGCTTTTGTTTCGAATAAAAGAACGAACCACTTTGAACTTCGTCAGCCGCTTTGAATCGGTGACCTAAAAGGTTAAGGCGGTGAAGTGGCAACGACTCAACATTTGCGGGACCTCGTCTTGCGACAAAGCGCATTCAGGCCCCGCAGAGCCATACGGAGCTGAATTAATGAAGATTAGACAAGCCCGTATACTACCCATCATTCCCAGTTGGCTGAAACGTGGTGCGCTGCAGCTGCCATAGACACTAGCGCCGGAGTTTCCTCTGGTGTATATATTTTGCGGCTGCGGCGGCTGCATTTTCGATGGAGGCGAAAATGTTTCGGCTCGTGAACTTACATTAAGGTGCACGTTAAAGAACCCCAGGTGGTCCGAAATTTCCGAAGGCCCTCCGCAAAGGCGCCTCTCATGATGATATCGTGCTTTTATTAAGAGCTGAATCCCAGATATTACTATGCTTTATTATTTAGTGTATTTAGAAAACACTCTAAGAGCTTAGTTGATTCCTGTGGTCAGGAACTTACTTGCATATCCGAGTGGCTTGGGTGCCGCGTGGTGTTACTTCAAAGCTAGAATGCTGCCGCTGTTAAAAATCACAATTATTGGCACGTCACGCTATGACGTAATCACAACACCACTAGTGTGACCTCGCTTATAAGTCGTCACGTGACATCGTGGCTAGGTGAAAGACGTTCCGATCCCGCAGTCCCTGCAAAACAACGCGAGGTGGAAGGAACTTTCAGTGTCTCCGATCTCGCAGCCCGTGCCAAACCAAACTAGGCGCTGGTAGCCTTCGGGAACCTTCACTAAAACTGACTTACAGGAAGCTGTTTTTACTCCCTATTTTGTGAATAAACAAGCTAAGGGGCATACGAAGTATACAGAATATCCAAGAATAAGAACACAAAATATAACACTTTATTACATATTTTTGCACTGGTAAAATCATTCTTGCTGTAATAGAGTTACTGGTCCCCCATGCTACTGCTGGTGATCACTGCTTCTGTACCTTAATTTTTTATGGTTTATTATTATTGATATATTTGTGATTTTGTTAATATAATGCACTTCCTTGTTAAATTAAGCATATGCATTCTGGTACACTCCTAATTTGGCATTGTTTTTCATTCTTTGCACAAGTATGCTTTATAGTATCGCTATGTTGCATTTTAGTGTTACGCTAATGATGTTCTTAAGTGTGTATTTATGTATCTTTTCTTGATGCTCCTAGAACACGCTACAATACTGTATGCTGTGAATTTCAGTTGGTCTTTTTCCCCTGCACCATAGTGCCATGAGGTTTGCTGCGGGTGTGCAATAAATACATAAACAAACAAATGAATAAATAAATAAGTAAATAACACATGTGGGACTCCGCTATGCAGGCAAATGATGTACCAGTCTTGTCATTGGTGTCGTTTAAGGCTTCACGAAACGAGCAGTTATCACTAAACCTTAAATATTTTCTGGAAGATGGTCCAACTGTAGGGAAGCACGAAAATTGAATTGCTTGCTGAATGTGTTCATGCTGCTAGAAAGGATGCGATTCCTTTAAAAATGGCCGATGCGACACAATACATTGTGCGTCGTACGCAAAAATACATAGTGCGAAGCTGAGTGGCCAAAAAGATCATGAAGGAACGATAAATGGGCAACGTTACAATGAGCTGCAAGAGATTGGACAAAAAGCCAGTTTCAATGTGTTACGCAGGCAGTTCTATTCTAATTTGAAAGAATAAAACGGGTTGCGTATTGTTAACTAATTACACTGCATTAATTGTGTTTTTGCTATGAAAATCATAGACCAATTTGGCTTTTTTATATTTCAGATACGCAAAAGCCTTGCATAGCTTGTTAATAATCAGTTGGAAATGAGCATAGTTGTTCAAATAGGCTTTGATATTTCATCAGATTTTTACACGCAAATTTTATTATTTTAGATATGTTGAAAACCTGGGACTAACAAATGAGAGTTTGCTTAAAATCAATTATTTGAACAAAAAACAGCATTATAAGGTTAGTATAAAAGTAGTAGTTTAAAAAAATTTTCATGAAGCAACACGCGTACTGAAGTTCATTGCACGGGGCCCGATCTTAACGTTCGTCGAACTCCCACACTCTGTCTCACGCTCAAATACGCACAAACACGCAGTTGAACGAACGCGCACTCCTTGCCCAGACATGATCACAGTGCCAGGCACGTCTCAAGCCCCTGTCTACTCATATTGCGCACAAGATAGATGGCTTTACTTACTTTCGAAGAAAATAGCCAACACACATAAAGAAAGTGTGAAGTTGAAATATGACAATTATAAAGCATGTTTGCACTTAAGTACGTGCTTTAGAAAGGTGCTTACCGCTATTGAAAGGTACGCTTTATTACGGGCAGCCAAGTCGGTTTGATAGCATTACAGCACTACACGCATGAAGAAGACAGAAATGCCTTTCACCTGCTTGATGGGCAACCCCTACGTATAGATGCTCTAAGATTCCTTCTTGCTACTTTAGAGCGACTCACTTGTCTGCATGACGACGCTGTCTACGTCTCAATTTCTGACCTCCTAAGTGAGCATGTACTGATCGAAATGCCGAGACATACAATCGGGACAAGCGTCGATAAAGCCTCAAGATATGGTACCTGCTAACCTTACTTATAACCTAATTCATCTTCGGGCCTTACTTTGTATATCAGTCAATATAATGTTACCTTGTTCATTGTTCCGCCAATGTGCTGAAAGGGTGGCATGTCTCAATATAGTTGCTGTATCTCGTCATCCTCACCTCGTGCGCAGAGGTGTACTGGTGGTGCCATCGGCCACTATAACGTCTCCGGTACATCATGTATGCGCGAGCTTGAATAAATCGATATCTTGACCTAAAATGTGTAATTATACCAACATTTTATAATATCAATAATATTTATCATTGTTATTAATATTATTATTATTATTATTATTTTATTATTATTATTATTATTATTATTATTATTATATTATTATTATTATTATTATTATTATTATTATTATTATTATTATTATTATTATTATTATTATTATTATTATATGAAGGAATGATGACAACAAAAGGGAATAGCAAGCATCATCGCAGAGTAGGGCACCACGAGATCGGCGCTCGAGCTCCTCCATCTTCCTCGTCCTGTCGCTATCTCCAATCTCCCACCTGCCCGTCTGGTTCGCCCAATAACCTCTTACATTTGGTGGATCGTGCTGGGTAACCACATCGCCTACAACCTGGAACTCCGATCTCGTACCCTGCCGTCGACCATGCAAGTTGACACTGCCCAACAAACAATACCTCTCGTGGCCGCTACTTGCCCCGGCCCGTTCATCAGCGAGAACCCCCCGATCTTTGCCGGCACCGAAGACCAGGACGTCGAGGACTGGCTGTCGTCATACGAGAAAGTCAGTGGACCCAACAGGTGGGATGACGCTGCTAAGTTAGGCACTGTCAAGTTTTATCTCACTGACGTGGCCAAGCTGGGGTATACGAACCACGAAACCGAGTTCGCGAATTGGTCCGCCTTCAAGGAGGCAATACGTGCCGTTTTTGGTCGTCCTGCCTTACGGAAGCTACGCGCCGAACAACGTCTGCGCACAAGGGCACAGGAGCCAGGTGAAACTTTCACATCATATATAGAAGATGTGATTGATCTCTGCCGGCGCGTCGATGCTTCCATGAGCGAGAGTGCGAAGATACAGCACATTATGAAGGGCGTCGA